AAAATGTAAAGACATTTTGAAGAATGATTTTTTACAAATGTTAAAATATAAAAAATAAAAGTCTTTTTTTTTTTCTTTTTTGTACAGTGAAAGTCAATAGAGACCAACATTATAGACCAACTATATTGGCTGTACTGACAGCCGTATGGAAAAAAAAGTTAATTGTTTTCTTGAGAATAATGGTCCTACAGATTTGGAATGACATGACAGGTAAATTATGGATAAAAAAAATTATGAGATTGACTGCAAATTACTGACATTGAATTATTGATTCTGTTGACAATCCTACATTAATTTTATCAGTTACCAATCAAGAAGGACAACTAAAATATATAACATTCTGTTTATTTTAAACACACATCTTCCGCTTTACATGCTCAAGCTCTTTAAAGTCGACTTGATTCTGATCGGCTGGATTATTACATTTTCAGTTACAGTTATCGTGCTTGGTGTGAACGGGCCTTATCTCACTCAGTACCTGTGGCTTAAGCAAAACAGCTAAAACGGTACTAACAAAGAACAAAGAGGAAAACAAAGCAAGGAAGGCCAACTTTACAGGAACACAGGCAGAAAGACAAAGACCTGCATCAAGTATTCCTGAGTGATGGAAGGTGTGGTTAAAGATCTCGGTCTTCAAATCTGCGTATATTATCAGAACCGAGAGGCCAGGGAAAAGAAGCCTGTTATAATATGCACATTTTTAATGTTAGAGAATATGAAACTGAGCATCAAAGCTTATGCAGATACTCCTGCCTCAGTACTTGTTCAGGTTTGGAGACCCAAGGGATTTAAGAGTGAACTCAGGTAGCTTTAAAGAAGTAATAAGAGGAGCGGTTGTCTAGATAGGGTAGAGCCAAGAAGAAAGCCCATCTGCACATAAACATGGTTCGTTGTGCGATCAGTGACCAACATTGCATTTAACTCAACAGACACAAGTGTATTTTCAACTTTCTGCTTTTGGGGTTAAAGGGATGGATTAGCTAAAAATTCAAATTCAGTCACCTTTTACTCATCATTCCAATCCCGTATGACTTCTGTGGAACACAAAAGGAGATGTTAGGCAGGATGTTCGCATTCCAAATATAAGATAAGGGGCTGGCAGAGTACCAAAAAAAAAGTGACTCATACAATAGTTTTGTGTGAGGAACAGACTAAAAATTGGAATTGGAATATAGTACACAAGCCATATAAGAGCTACCTTTATGAGGCTTTGTAATTTCTTGAGCTTGACAGCCCTTTGTCAACATTCACTTACATTGTAAAAGAGTAGCATGAACAATCTGGTGAGTAAATGATGACAGAATTTCCATTTTTGGGTGAACGATCCCTTTAAGCTTCGGCATGCTGTTTTACCCCCGGTCCCTCTGAAATCTCCCAGGAATCACCCACATTGTGTTCAACAAAGGCACCAGTTGTAAATACAGACTTCAGAGCACATGTCATGTGATTGAGGAGCTGTCTCTCATTTCCCTGCCATAGAGAGGGTCTCTCTGATATAGCAGCTGTTTCTCTGATGAGTTGGAGAATCTGGGAAACATTGTCTGGCGAGATCAAAGAGAAGCGGGGCTGTAATTATCACGGTAACCAACGGTAAAGCTGTTAAATTAAGCAGTCTGTTAATGAGAAATTTCTCTCCTTCTCTCATTAGAGGAGGTATTTATGAGGCGAGTCAAAACCACACACTGGGGTCTGGAGAGTTATTTATTGATTGAGGGCATTTATCATACCTAAACATTCACTAAATAAAGAGCTACGCCGTTCCAACGGAACTAATCAGGTCAGAACTACTCGACATACAAGAATACACTAAAGCCAGATTCAATTAATCATAACAAAAAGAACATTCAAAATCCCATAACCCAACAGCTTTGCCTGAGAAAGTGGTATAACTACATAAACACAAGGTTTGATGGAGAGGTCTGTTTGACAGCTGCCACAATTCCTGATAAGGTACAAAAGACGGAAAGCTTTGAAAGAGAGCATGAGTTCTGAATTCTAATTAAATATCATGTGCATTTTTTAAAAATATGTTGAAAAGTTTCAAATTTTTGAAAAAATTGGACAGAAACAGCTGTCTATTTTATAACAAGGTAGCAAAGGGAGCTCTCAGATCTCCTGAGACGCTTCAATGGGGATTTGTCAAGGCCTTGGTCTCTCGTTGGTTGTAAACACAGGAAATATACAGCTGGATCCAGCACTTAATATTGTTGACTATGTACTGTACAATATATAGCACTCAAAATACATGACTATACCTAAATGCAAAACATTCCACTATGTTGCTGTGCTCTAGCTAGCGGTTGCCCCTAAAGTGACTGACAAGCATCAATGATGCACAAAGAATAAGTCTATGCTAAGTAATGACTAGAACAGCTACCCATTGAGACTTTATAAGAACTGGTAATGAAGAACCATGACTTATCAATAATAGCTTAGCATTATTGCAGTGGGCTGCAGTGTAGGACTGTGGTAACAGCAGTGCTAGCAAATCTGACCTCAACCATATCAGTTTAAATAAAGATCAAGTGTGTCACTGTGCCACGAGAGAATAAGAATGCTCTAGGAAACCAGGTCAAGTGATCGTTTTATACAATGGGATATAAAACCAAGCTGGCAGCCAAAGACCAACAACTGCAATGGCTTCATTTTGACCGAGCGAGTTTTTCAAGTGCTATGGACAATAAAGGCTCACACTCAAGTTTAAAAGGTCACTTTAGTGAAAAACTTCACGAGGAATCTGTGTGACCAATTTGAACCTGTGACGAAATCTGCGAGGAAATTTTTTTTTCCCTTGTGTGAAATTCATGTGAAATTCCAGATTGCTTATGAAATGACTGGATTTTACACGTGAAAATGTTTAAATATGACCGCATTCAGTATGAAACGGAAATTGCAATATATTTCTTCTCTATCGTGATGCCTACACAAGTGAAACAGCTTCATGAGCAAGGAAAAAAAATAGGGCGGCACTTGATTTTGTCCATCAGGAGTTGATTAAATCATTGGATTGTTGTTGTTTGCTAATTGCTGCAATCTCATGTGATTGACAGGTTTATGGCCCAACCCTCGTGCCAACGTTGCACATCAACAAGGAAGAGAAGATATGAATAATATAATGATAAATTATAATAAACATTGCAATATTCCATAAAAATAAGAATTGGGAATTTTGGTTTCATGCTGACTAATGTAGCTAGCAGCACATTTGTCTTCTGTATGACGTGCAGTAAATACCCAAAGAATCTTCAGTTTCGCTGTCCCAAGATGGCCCACAATCCTCTTCTTCCTCCTCTTCTCCTTCCACAGCCCTCCACTCACCTAAAACAACCACAGAACAAACATTTATACACATTTACTAACCCATTTACACTTAGTCACTTCATGCATTTGGATCGATCGTATTTCTGTCTGATTGGGTACGCACAATCCATTTATACTTGGCAACATAAATGCGTCTCCACATATCAGATATAAATCTGATCTAGTACTCCCATGCTATGCAAACAAAGTTCACTTTGATGCTAATGCCAGCCAGTGAAATTTTCCACCTTAGTGTTTGAGATTTGTGGCCACTCTTTCTAGGTTTCATATCAATGATTGCGAGGCTCCTGCACTTCCTTATGCTGTCGTAGTTTATTTGAGGAAGATTAAACGTTATACGTGTGGCCTGCCCTGAACAACCAGATACATTTATACTTGGGTCTTTTCATGATCCTGTAAATATGAAAAATGATCAAGTGTAAATACCCCCTCAAAGGACCCTTAAACCACATAATCTGTCCAGCATACAGAAAAGACTAAATAAATAATAAGAACGTCCAAGTAAATTATTCACTTTACATTCTTGATCCACACTGACTACCCTTGTTAGACACTCCCTTGTGAAACAGGAAAAAACGAGATGTGGAAAGAGAAAGTTCATTCACCTGTACGCTAACTCAGCAAAAACTACGTCTTCAGCATTTGTGATCAGCAGAGATAATCAGCTCAAACACATTCTTTGTTTCGAAACAGGGATTGCTAGTGCACAGAAGTGCACAAACATGCTCTCGCACACCAATGCAGATGCTGACAAGTCCACCAACACACAAGCCTCCACTGTAAACACGCTTCCTCTTTGAATCTTCAGCTGTAAATTATGGATGTTCTGGGTGTAACAGTGTGATAGACGAGGGCCTTGGAGTCCCATCAGGGTAAAACACAAAGCTTACAACTCTCAACTTAGATGTGTGTGTGTAGAGGTCAAAAGGAGTCAGCACCACACAAGGACACAAGCAGATGCTGAAGCACTCAGTCAATAACGTTTAGCCCCAAGACACTGTTGACCTCACCGGGAGGTCCGTATGAAATCGCACTTTACCGTCTGTATGACTATAATCTGCTCTACAGTCAAGGGAGAAATTATCTCTTTATAAGATGTATTACTGAGGATTGCTTATTGATTATTCATAATGCTTCACAAAGTGGCTCTCTATGTCTCTGAATAATGTATAAGAGACTAAAATACATGGTATTAAAATAAAATGAGTCAACTTTAGGGCTTTTATTTGGGAAGTTCTGGAAAGTGGGACATCCTGTGTTTTTGTAATGATTAGTGTAATGAGCAGAATGAGAGTACAATGTTGGTGTGACCGTGCAAATTCATTAATCATGTTAAATTTGGCTTGCATTGACCGTTCATCTAAATGATAATAAGAGCATTTAAAAAGAGCTTAACCTGAACTTCATGAGCCAAATGAGATGAGGCCAAATATTTATCGTGCGGTGTAGGCAGCTGCCATAAAAAAAAAACAAAAAAAAAAACAATAACTCTGCAAAGAGTTCTCACATACAGTGCTTCTAAAACAAGAATTTATAGTGAAAACATACTTTTTTTTGAAGAAGAAGAAGAAAATGTCATCTATGCTTGTCGTGTACAGAGTAATGTAAGTCTATGATACTTTCTCGCCTGTTTTATTGTCCACCAGGCGAAGTCTGCTCAATCCTTGCCAAAACATTAGAGGTCTGCTGCATTTGGGGTATCTCTGTAAAAATGGCAAATGACAAAGAGTCAGTCATCATTTAAATGTTTGGGATCAGCAAGAAAGAAGTTCCTCACGCTCCAAGGCTGGAGGCTACAATTATATGATCAAAATTCAGTAAAAACAGTAATATTGTGAAATATTATTACAATTTAAAATAAATGTTTACTATTTAAAATTACATACTAAAATGTAATTTATTCCTTTGACGGCAAAGCTGAAAAAAAGCTGAAAAGAGTTTTTTTCAGGATTCTTTGATGAATATGAAGCTCAAAACGATTTACTGTCAAAGTTCAAATATTTACTGTATATATACTGTCAATTTAGGTCAATATAATGCACTCTTGCTGAACAGAAGTATTCATTTCTTAAAATCTTTGAATAACTGACCTCAAACTTTTTGTAAATGAATAATTCATGTGCTAAATTAATTTCTGAATGCCGATATAATACATACGGTGTCACCCGAAAACACTTTCGTGCAACCAGCCACAATGAAAGTGTGCAAACTGCATTTAAAATATGAAGTATGTAAAGTGATTTAAGCACTAAATCCTCTAAAAACTCCAGCATTATCAGCAACAATGAAAGCTTTGCCTTCACCTTAAAGAAACTAGCTGTTGCCTGGCATTTCACCACTGTTTAACACGCTCACCACTCTTCTCCACAGTAAATCCTACAATCAAAATGCAAGC